CTTTCGCCCTCGAGCGATACCATCTTTCCTGGTATTTTGATTTCTAGTATTGCCCCACAATTTGCCAAGAAAACTGCTGAATCTTACTCCAGCATGTAATGCCTTTATATTGCTTCCAATTCTGAACCTACTCATGCTGAGCGTGTTGCCTTCCTTCAGGTCTGGCTCTGTAAATATGTTCTTTGTGTCCCCAGCCTGAAACCCTCATTGAGTTATCTGCCTCTATCACATGAATTAGCACGTGACAGGTCTTTGAACTTGCTCAATTGTGGTTGAGAGCCTATTATAGAGGCATGGCTTCCCTCCAACTCCAATTAAAGAATGATACGTCTCCCATTGGTAGTAGGCCTCTTTGGCTTGGTCAATTGTGGTTGAGAGCCTATTTTCCATAACTTAATGCTTTACCATCTCCTTCTCGAACAGTTAGATATTATGGGCCATTCACTCATCAATTGAGCCATGTAAAAATGTCCAGCAGAGATGTTTTCACATTCTTTTGTACTTTGAATTCAACAACTTCTTTTTTCCCTTTCTCTCCTCATCAAATCCCTCTTTATGTGCGACCTCCTTCTACCTTAACTGAAGTGAGCACTTCCTTGCCCATTTGGGTTCAATTTCTAGTTGGGAAAGACCTGTTCAATGACATTGTCACAGGAACAAATGCCAAAGCAGGGGTTGAAATATATGCTCCCAATTTTTTGCTCGCCAACTTGGTTTTGGCCAAATGTGGTTGTTCCTCATTGTTATTCTAAGAATTTGACAAAGCGTTTCCATACTATCAATAAAATCGAGGCACAAGCCATGGACACCCATAATAACCTTTTAGCCAAATATTTCTCTTTGGCTCCTTTCAATCCTAGCTTTGCCGTCCATCCTCTTTTTGAATAGCTATGGCCATCAGTAAAACGCAGATCGTTTGCAACTGATGTCAATCATGCCTTCCAATTACTGGATCGGCCAGACACTTCCTCTACTTCTCCTATTTTGGCCATCCCTGTGTCCATTAGGAATCCTTCCTCCCCTGCTCGCGCTAAAGTCCTATCCTTCCATTTGCTTCTCCACCTGCTAAGGCTACTGCAACTAAAGGTGCTTCAAGCCGCAAACGGCCATCTTCAGCATCTTCCATTTTGAAGGATGATAATGATGATGATGACGCTCCTCTCATCCTTAGGAGAAAGGTAATTGAATTTGTTTATTCACAAACATACTTTTCTATGTATTAATGATTTACCTGAATTTCTCAGAAAAGTTCAGCTCCGTCCAAATTAACTGATGAAGGGACTATGCTTAAAGAGAAATCCTTAGTCCCGAAATCTTCATCACAACCAGTAAAAAGGCCACCTTCTTCCCAGGGTGTTGACCCTCCAAATGTCAAACCAGAATTTAATACATATTTTGATATTTTACCTTTTCTTACGCTGCTGGTTTTTGATTCGTTGCTTCTTGAATTATGCAGAGGCTCCTATGGACCTACCCATTGTGGTAGAGTCTTCTCGCCAGATAAGGGGAAGTTCCCACAGGTGGTGAAGCCAACTGGTGACATGCCTGAATTTCCCGAGATTGCTAATGAGGTAACCTTTTACTTCACTTTCATTTTCACTTCATTTATCATAATGAAGGTCCTCAATGTTGGGATCTTTCTTTGCAGGGCACTGATGACATTGTGCATTCCATCCGGGACTTGTTCACTTCCTGGGGACAAGTAAAGATACCTCTCTCTACTTCAATCAGTCATTCTTCTACTTTGTTTTCTTCTTTTTCGAAGGACAATATGAAATCTCTCAAGTAGTCAGTATTAGAGTATGTGTCTTTCATGGACATGGAAATCGGCCAGGCTAGTGCTGCTAAACAGAAGGATAAGTTTGAGCTGTTGAGTGCGAAATTGGCACAAGCACTTACACTTTCGTCGTTCAGTGTTTCTGCTGACTTTAAAGGGACGTTGAAGGTTGTCCACTCTGACATCCTCTCCTTACTAGCTAAAAATGTTAAACTAAAGGCCAGGAGTACTCATTATCTTCGTGCTACATCTGAAAGAGAGTCTTTGCTTTTAGAGATTAACAAAGCTGAGGATGAATTGAAAGAAATCTCCTCCAAAGTTATGATTGAAGACTCTTTGATGATAAACTTAGCTGTAGAGATGAAAGAGCTTCAAGCAAAGATGAATGAATGTAGGACGAGAATGGCTGCTAAAAAGCTCAATGCTTCCCAAGAAATTGAATGAACTAAGTCTTTGGTTGAGCAGTATAAAAAACTGGAGGTTGATGACGATTTTGTAACTGAATTGAATGTCGCTTCTTCTCAACAGAGCGAAGATTGGGGAAGACTTAGGGAAAGAATACGTTCGTCTTGGGGTGAATTATAATTAAGACATCCAATGCCTAACTTTCCTTTTGTAATTTCGCACTAATTGACATTGCTAATTTTGGATGTAATCCCAGTTATCGTCATTAATGAACGACTGTTTTGTCTACTTGCGTATTTATTAACGTTGTCCTTAATCGTCAACTCCCAAACATTTAATTGCTTTATGCTAAGATTCATGTACATTATCTCTTGGTATTCCCGTATCTTTTCCCAAGATTTTGGGTCATTTGATTTCAGTTACTATGCACGTAAAAAACTAATTTACTGCCATCGTTTGACACCGCAACAATTGATCCAAAATTTTCGTTTTCAATAGAAATGGATCATTTGATCCACCCATTTTTCTATCGTCTTGATGTCACTTTTGGTATGGGAGATTTATGAAATATTTTTTGGCCTGCAAAGTTCTTCCCATCGTCTTCATGTTCTTTAAAAGGAGTTCAATTATGGAAGACGATTTTTGAGGATGCCTTTCAAGCCACTTCGCCTGTTGAGAGTACTTCTCAGTCTCCTTGCCTATTATTGTAGCAATGCAATTATGCAGGCGATTTGAGGGTACTTTTCTTCCCTTTTGCTTGTTGAGAGTGCTTCTCAGCCTCTCTACCTATCCTTGCAGCAGTGCGTTCAGGATGGCGATCAAGGCCAGTTCACCCTCTTACTCTGGGCAACCGTAAGGCACTCCATTTGCTCAGATTCTGGGCGTCTTGTAAGTTTGGGCGATACTATTACTGTGTTCGTGGGCTTTCACTGCATTCATCAATAATTTTATTTGGGCCTTTATCCTGGACTCCCCAATTGGACTTCACTCTTTGAGCTATTTAATTTGGGCTGCACTTTTAGTGTGTCAACAATCCAACATACTTTTTCCTTACAATCGTTTCGATCTTTTTCTCAATAGAAACCCAAGACTCCTATTTATACTTGTACAAAGAATATTCTATTTAATGTGCACACATAAATCCACCATACATTTCATCTAACATTATAGTTGAATTTATGCACTCTAGATCTAATAATTTTATGCGTATTAGAATCAATGATAAATGGACTATCAATGTATCATTTTTAATATTTATTATAATAAGTCTAGATAAACTTTAGAAGATATCAAGAGGTAAACTTTCATATTTAAATACAATCAACTTCAAAAGTCAAAACTATCAGAAAAAAAATCCTAAGGTGAGCAAATATGGGTGATAAATTATATATTCTCGGATCTATATGCACTACTTGACCAAATGACTATGAAAAAAATCATATATTACACAAAATTACGACATGATTGTATGCCCCCATCAAAACAGTGCTTTCATGAATAGAGGGAAGGATGAGAATTAATAAGATATCATGCTTTACTTTGGCATGATATCGACTTGGACACCAATAAGGTTTCAAGAATTTTTCATGAAACTTAAATTTTATATAATTGCCAAGATCTCCATGTCAAATCACCAAGAAAATTAATTAATGCGGAACATATATTGATCCATTGATTTGTATTTTGAATAATAAATCTTGATTTCTTGTTCTTCAATTTAATTGCTTCAATCCTTCTTCTTGATTCCTGATCGTAGGTTTTGAATCTTCCTCTTCAATATGATTTATCTTGTATTCTCGTGTTGATGAGATGATACAAAGAATGAGAAGTTACATATGAATTGAGGTCAATAACCCTTTACATAATTTTCATATGTATTCGGCACATCGTCAAATATAAACCCTAATAAATCTGATCTCTACACATATAATTCGGCTTACACTTTATTTAGGTGCACAAAACTCAATTATTTAATTATTTATTAGATCACTCTAATTTTGGACTTAACTTTAAAATAATATTTATACACAATTAATTACATATGTCGGTTCACATGGAAAATTAAATAATTTCCCAACAGTGGGATTCTTACTTGTGGGTTGAGACCAAGTTGCAGCTAGAAGACCTAGCTGAGGTCTTGAGTGGTGCCATCATATGTGCCGGCATTAGGTGTTTATAATTTTTTTATTAAAATTATAAAATTACTATTTTGCCCTCTTAAAAATTAGTCAAAGTTTACTAATATGGTCAATTACTGTCAATTTTCATCTATTTGGACCTCAATTGCGAATTTTTGGAAATTGGAACTACAGATGGCACAAAATGAAAGTAGGGTAAAATCAGCAAAACAAAAATGAAAGGTTTGGAATCACTACTGCATTTATCCCTTTAGGTAATGTCTCTATGTTTTTCCTTCTTTTTCCAAGAGATTCGCATGATAAACAATAATAAGCTTCGAAAGACTGATAATACACTTCAATATAACCGTGACTACATTAAAATATTTTATTGACGTCAAATCTAATTCAATAATTGTTCGTATTAATTTTTGTTGATCTCTTGTAGCTTCTCATATATAAATGAGTGACGTACTTATTTCATCAATTATAACTTTCTCATGTCAAATGCAAGATTATGTATATGCATAGTGAAGAACGCCAGAAGAGGTGTTGAAATTCGAATTTGAAAGGAATTTATTAAATAACTTATATATAACAAATACAACTTGTAGAGATCAAAAGTTGAAAGCGCATTGAGCACGTAAAAGGTGTTCTTCTTGAGCAATTTTAGGCACGGCCGAACTTGAAATAGAGTTAAATTAAGCTGTGTGAGGATAGAGGCGAACAGGAAGACCCTTGGCAGGAATGGGCATTGGATTAACAACAATCTTCTCATCTGGAATTATTTTCTCCCACTTGAACCTTCTCACAAGATGGTGCATGAAAACAAGAATTTCGAGACGGGCATACTCTTTTCCAGGGCACATTCTAGGTCCTCCACCAAATGGAACAAATGTGTAAGGAGCTGGTCCAGATCCATCAAATCTTGAAGGATCGAATTTCAGTGGCTCGGGGAAGAACTCGGGATTCCTGTGTGTCGAATTTGCACTCCAGTATAACTGCGAAAGGTAAGGAAACAAAGCGGGATTAATAAGTATATACTGGCTTTTATGAAATGAATATGAACATATTTTTGTGCATTTTTTACCTTCCATCCCTTTGGAATTTCGAAACCGTTGTATATGAAATCAGTAATGGCTTCTCTGAAAGCTCCTTGGAGGGGCGGTGCAAGTCTCATCACTTCACATGCCACATTCCATGAATATTTCATTTTCTTTATGTCTTCCCAGTTCAGCAACTCACCTGGAGATTTTGCTTTGGCAATCTCTATTTGTTCTGATCATTGAAAACAAAAAAATATTTTTAAGAATGAAAATGAGGGGGTATGTGTGTGGGGTGGGGGTTGGATGATTTGAGACTTACCCTTGTAGACTCCCTCATATACCTCAGGCAACTCTGCAAGAAACTTGATAACGAAAGTGCATGCTGAACTAGCAGTATCATGGCCTCCAATAAGCAGGCCTAAAATCTTATCAGCAATATCCAATTCATGCATGAATTTTCCATTTTCATCACTAGTCAAGAGCATGTGTGACAGTATATCTTGTGTTGGTGATGCCTTTCCTTCGGCTAAATCAAGTTTTCGCTGTTTGATTATGGCAACAAGCTCTTTTCGGATGAAATTTGAGGCCTTGATGGCACGATTAAATGGCGTGCCCGGCAAGTCTATGGGAAGGGAAATAAGTCCAGATGCTAAAAGGTCGAAAGGATCAGCAAATTTAGCAACATGGTTGGGATCTTCTACGCTTACAAACAAACGGCAGGCCAGCCAGAAAGTGAATTTCTTTGCAAGAGGGAAAACAACAATTTCATTCTTGTTTTCCCAGTCATCAGCAAAGTGTCTTTGTGCAATATGATCCATTATACCAATGTATCGTTGTAAGGCTTCGGGTTTGAGGAAATTCGGTAGCATTTTCCGCATTTTTATGGCCTCTTCTTTTGATGAAGTTTGATTAGAAGATGGGAAAACTTTGTCAAAAGATGCAGGCCACCATGCTTGGACAAGTTTATTCTCATTTGAGAACAAAAACTTATTACCAGCAGCACCACAGAAAACAGCAGCCTTTTCCCCAAGTAGATGAGTCCTGAAAACTTTGGATGAGTACTTCGCCATCCGATCGTAAATGAACTTTTCGGGGTAGCCCTTCCACCCAGTGGTGAGAAACTCGAGGGTTTCACCGACCACAGGCCATCCAGTCTTGCCCGGAGGAAGCGTCCCAGATGAGCTCGATTTGTTCTTGTAGAAGATGAAATTGAGAGAGAAGAATACAGAGGAAACAAAGAGGCCAAGGAGAGACATATAGAAGAACTCCATGTCTTTTGTTTTGATTAGTAGATGATGATTTTATTATTGAATTTAGACACATATATATAGAGGGAAAGAGAGTCAAAACTATGTAGTGATACTAGAAAAGTTAAGTGTGGGTATATTGAAGTCAAGTAAGTTAAGAAACCAAGGAAACAAAGTCCTATGGAGTGGCTTTATTTGGTTGAAATATATAATATATAATTGGCATCCAAAATGCCTGTTTTTATTTGCTTTTGCCTATGTCGAAACACAATCTTCTTTTAATATCTCCGAGTAGGAATTGTTGATTCCCAATAGCACTATGGAGACAATTTCCCATCTAAGGAGATAAGATGTAAGATCCGTACTAAGTGTTTGACTAGGATTCCACTATAATTTAGGTCGTGACATGAATTTTCTCATTTACAAGAAGAAATTATTGGTACTAAGTTATGATGCACCGACACGGACATGTGTGTCCTATACGATACGTGTTGGATATGCCGATACGCTATTTTTAAAAAAAGTATAGACACAACATGTTATCGACACGTTGATTAAATTCTTAAAAATTCTTCATTTATATAGTATAAATTTAGTTTTATACTTGTTATTAATTTTCTTGTTGAAATCTTTTAAACACGAGTACCTATTTGTTACTTGCCAATAATTTTGAANTAATAACTTTGAATTAACAATATATAATATTTCTAATATAAAAAGAAAAATGATTACGGTAGAGTGTCCGAGGAGTATCGGTACTGACTCGTGTTGGACACAAACACGCTACCCTAATTGAAGTGTCCGTGCTATAGAGGTACTAAGTTTTGAATAAAGGATTTCACCGTAAAAAGTAAGATTGTTACTAATATTATATGAGAAGAAATGATTCATAAAGTCGAAACTCTAAGTCGGTCTGAGCCCCATTTCTTCCATCTACAGAGAAAAGTTGCTGGATGATATTAACGGTTGATTCTGGAGACGAAATATTGGTTGATGCTAACTGTTCGTTGAAAAATAAATTTTTATCAAGTATATATCACTTTTTGCTGAAGCAACTTGGCTAGTGGCAATAGGACTTGTTTGTATTAGAAATGTTTGTAGTTCATTTGAATAAACTATAAATATATGAATCCCTTACTTTTAAAAATTGATTCCATTTGACATAATTACAAGGAAACTGTTATATTATGTTTTGAAACAACCAGATGCCATTTTATTTGCCGGCATCAGAGGCAATTAAACTTGCAATGCAAGGGAATTTCTGTTATATTAACATATACATGTTGTACAATGGCGCGGCCTACTTCGTTTCCCTAGTGAGAAACAAAACACTAAGAACCACAGCAGGTGTCAGCAAGGATCTAATATCCTGCAACACCATTGTATTTGAAATACATAACTCAAATTTTCCTTGAGACATAGTACTACTTTGATCGTCTCTGTTTCCATCATATCTATGTGTACGTAGACCAAGTTCCTCGGCAAATGTTAGTGTATCATGAACTTATTAAGAATTAAAAATCCTAATTTTATACCATCAATAATAATAAAATCGCACTAAGGAAAAGAAAACACAAAAGAACACGTAAGATATATAGAGGTTTGCCTCAATATGAGACTACATTCTCGTCTGTTGTTGTAGTAATTTCACTATAATAAAAAGAAGTTTACAAGAGAAAAATTGCATTTCTTACTTCTCGGGGTAATTTTAAAAGGTGGAGATTACCCTCCACCCTTTGTTTAAAGATCAATATTCTAAAAAGAGGAGAAAGTTTCATTATTCACAAATAAGATATTTTATATTTAAATATAAAATATACAAATTCCTCTCAAACCCTATTATTTCATCCTATCTCTAAATTACACACACATAGGGATGACAAAAAAGTTCGTCGGTTCGGACGGCTCGGGCTTGACCCGAAAAAAGCCCGAGTCAAGCCGACTCGTGGCTCATTTCCACCGAACTGAGGCTCGGACCGAGCCCCATTTTGGAACGTCGGCTCGAGCCCGGCCTGGCCCGTGTGGCCCGACAAGCCAGACGGTTCGACCTGTACGAGCCGAGTCCGTTAATAATTAAAAAAAAATCGAAACAACAGGGAAAAAAATAATAAAATGTTGTAGCTGCCGGGCAGCTATCTTTGAAAAAATAAAATAAAATACCCGAGTCGGTCTGGCTTGGCCCTCTAAAGCTCGGGTCGAGCCGGAATTTTTTGGCCGAGCTTGGGTGAAAAAA